GTTTGGAGATGGATGAACAACTTGAATTTTTGACTCGAGTCTATAGCCAGTGTACCTAAAGAAGAAGAAGAAATCATTTTCCTCATTATTCAAGACAGATTCATTTCAAGACAACAGAACAATGATATAAAAGAAGATAAAGAAAAGTATTCTTGTCATCATGTAGCAGGTCCTTTGCAGAATGTTGCTCTCATCACAGTCTGCCTAAAAGAAACTCAGTCTCTCGCCAGTTCTCCTGCCTCACGTCTTAGACAAAGTAATTAATAAACATTAACTGAGTTGTTTTGTGAGGTAAGAGTTATGTAAGACCACATCACAAATATTTCACTCTCACCATAAGTTCAAGAGATCCTGAGGCAAGACTGCTCCCCCCTTGTGACCTGTCAGGAATAACGGTCAGCTGGGTGTGTCTTTGCACATCCTAAGCCAAAAGTAAGACAATAAATTATTTACTGGAAGTCATTAATATGCCATTAACAGAATGCCCACAGAATACAGAACCTTTGTCCTGCTGTTGACACATCAGGTTGATAGGTACCCCTCGTTATACACCGTTTATTGTTTATAGAGAACCCATTCCCTGCCATTAACACATCAGGTTGACAGGTATCCCTCAATATACACCGTTTATTGTTTATAGAGAACCCATTCCCTGCCATTAACACATCAGGTTGACAGGTATCCCTCATTATACACCGTTTATTGTTTATAGAGAACCCATTCCCTGCTGTTAACACATCAGGTTAACAGGTATGCCTCATTATACACAGTTTATAGAGAACCCTTTTCCTGCCATTGACACATCAGGTTGACAAGTATCCCTCCTTATACACAGTTTATAAAGAACCCTTTCCCTGCCATTAACACATCAGGTTGACAGGTATCCCTCATTATACACAGTTTATAGAGAACCCTTTTCCTGCCATTGACACATCAGGTTGACAAGTATCCCTTGTTATACACAGTTTATAAAGTACCCTTTCCCTGCCATTAACACATCAGGTTGACAGGTATCCCTTGTTATACACAGTTTATAGAGAACCCTTTTCCTGCTGTCAACACATCAGGTTGACAGGTATCCCTCGTTATACACAGTTTATAGAGAAACCTTTTCCTGCTGTCAACACATCAGGTTGACAGGTATCCCTTGTTATACACAGTTTATAGAGAGCCCCTTTCCTGCCATGACACATCAGGTTGACAGATATCCCTCATTATACAGTTTATAGACAACCCTTTTTCTGCCATCAACACATCAGGTTGACAGGTATCCCTCGTTATACACAGTTTATACCCTTTTCCTGCCATTGACACATCAGGTTGACAGGTATCCCTCATTATACACAGTTTATAGAGAACCCTTTTCCTGCCATTGACACATCAGGTTTACAGGTATCCCTCATTTTACAGTTTATAGAGAACCCTTTTCCTGCCATTGACACATCAGGTTTACAGGTATCCCTCATTTTACAGTTTATAGAGAACCCTTTTCCTGCCATTGACACATCAGGTTGACAGGTATCCCTCATTATACACAGTTTATAGAGAACCCTTTTCCTGCCATTGACACATCAGGTTGACAGGTATCCCTCATTATACACAATTCATTCACTCCAGGAAATGACTAGGTAACATGAAAATGCTTAAAGTAAATTGATTTTAGAATGCACTACATAAAAGACCCTTTCTCACATGCATATTGGGCATACAATGCTAGACCGATATTTTATAGACCAGTCGGCACTCAGTAATTAATGTGGTCAACATCATGAAAGCCAACTTTACTTCCCAGGACTTTACCTGGAACCTGTTTAAGGCTGAGTCGACCTGGGAGCCAAGGTGATTTCCGAAAACAGTCAGGCTTTATTTGAATTTGAACCTATGATTTTCAGATCTACAGGCGAATGTCTAGCCTCTCAAACACAGTGGCTTCCTGCATTACATAACGATAGGTTTACTTTGAGAGGGGGGGGGAAAAAGCTAAGATTTAAATCTTCACAATTAATTACTACATTATTAAATGTAAAGTTACACAAAAGGTATGGTCTTCTTTTTTTTTTTTCTGAAATCCTGGAACTTCTCACAGCAGCAAAGCAGGAAGAAATCTCTGGAATGGTCCCTTCTGTTCAATTTGTATAAAGTAATTTTCAATGTCTCTGATATTTCTGCAGTCCATATCTGAATGGTCGACCTCTGTCTGTATCTGTATAATATTGCTCTCTGTGATGCCCTGTCTGATGCCAATCTTGTTAAATGGCAAAACCATTTGATTTGTTATCCACCTATAAAGTTCAGTATTGTTTTGAATGGTGGGTCTATTCTCCACCATCTTCCCCCCAAAATAGGCCACAGAACCCGCAGTGGAAATCAGAAGAGTAAGACTCCTGAATATGGGGGAATAACCACCTTAATTGTGCTGAATTTTCGCACATTTTTGAACTAACAAGCACAACAAAAACTACAACACAAAGTTATTACCTGAATAAAAATTCTGCTTGTAATTGGATAATAATTCCCAGAAACATAATCCTTCACTTTTGTACTGCCAGGTTTTTCTCTTCTGCAATGGAAGTTTTAGTTACATTTTAAAGACTGCATTATTTTTGGCTAGAAAATGTGATTCGTGTAAAGCATTCACATGTGTGCTTTGTTACACCAGCGACCTGGCACCCATTGGCTGTCCGGCAGACGACTTCATCGCCGAGCGGGACAGTTCTGGGTCTGTCTCATTTGATCATATCAACACTGCAGAAGTCTTTTTCAGGCTTTTGTTGGCATGCAATGCAAAGCCATTTTATTTGGCGCACATATGCTAGTAAAAATTATAACCTAAAGCTCCTCTTTCCGGGATGCTGGCTAAACGTGAAAATTTTTTTTTCTAGCACAGCACCTATCTGCCTTGTGGACTTTGATTACCCTGCCACAATTTGGGACAGCATTTTGTTGTTGTTTCAAAAGCCCACCTCTGCTGTCGCTAACCTAACATAATGGTTAAATTTTGTGGCATTTTGTATCACCAGGTGTTTGTCACTTACTGTCCTGGCTAGGTTGAACATCAGTCAGTCAGTCTTGTGTGCTTCAAAACATAACAGATCTGGCACAAATATCGCAGTCTCAGCCAATACATTAGGCACAAATGATCCAGACCACAAATATAAACAAATGCTAACAAATTGAATGTGGTAGACTTGTTTTGTTTTCAAAAATGGACATGCATCTGTGTGCTTCATTTTGTCTAACACATTCTCTAAGAATGCATCTGATAAGATTCAGCAAAACTGTCACACAATAGATCATACACTATGTTTTGTATGTTCTAATCAGTAAAGAGAAATCTGTGTAATAAAATTAACATGGTCTGCTAATTAAATGAATGAATGAATGAATGAATGAAGTCCAACCCCACCAGGACCGCACAAACACCCTGTGACCCAAAGTGGCATCATTCAGATGACAATCACCGAGGCGCAAGTCCCAGAAACCCCATTCAACCATTAGGTTATATTAGGGCCCCAAAAACAGTCGGAGTGGGGCTTTAAACTAATGAAAAACTGTGTCCATTTATGGGACGGCAGTTACCGACAAATTAAAATGAGAGAAAATGTTTAATATTTATTGTAATGATTTCTGCCTAACATGTGTATCCACAATTATACTGTATTTTCACATTTGTGACTAATACAATAAAAAGGGTATGCTCTTCTAAACAAGGTAAGTGTTTGTCTTATGATATGACATTAAATATAGCAAAAAATAGGCAACATGTGCAGTCTCTCTTCCTAACAAAATTTATTATTTGTAGCAGTATATTTCATTTTAACATTATTCATTATGTAAATAATATGGTTTAAGTACATATTTGTTGTACAGGTGTAGCTTATTTGTATGCAGACTGTTGGTTCCTCCCAAGATGCACACAGATAAGTCAGATCTGTTAAAACGATGTGAATGCAACACTGAGGTGATGGAACATAAATAAAGTCCAGAGGTGGACAAACAACCAGAATTTTCTGCCAAAGATAACAGCCAGGAAACACAAACAAGAAGAAGACAACTAAGTTATCTGAGGATTGATTTTCTAAGCTAAAGTGACGAGTTTGAAAAATAAACCCCAAAAGCATTACCATAAAGTTATTAAAAAACTTCACACATCCAGCGTACTGCACATACTTCACACATCCAGCATACTGCACATACTTCACACATCCAGCATACTGCACATACTTCACACTCACACATCCAGCATACTGCACATACTTCACACATCGAGCATACTGCACATACTTCATACATCCAGCATACTGCACATACTTCACGCATCCAGCATACTGCACATACTTCACGCATCCAGCATACTGCACATACTTCACACATCCAGCATACTGCACATACTTCACACATCCAGCATACTGCACATACTTCACGCATCCAGCATACTGCACATACTTCACGCATCCAGCATACTGCACATACTTCACACATCCAGCATACTGCACATACTTCACGCATCCAGCATACTGCACATACTTCACACATCCAGCATACTGCACATACTTCACGCATCCAGCATACTGCACATACTTCACGCATCCAGCATACTGCACATACTTCACGCATCCAGCATACTGCACATACTTCACGCATCCAGCATACTGCACATACTTCACGCATCCAGCATAATGCACATACTTCACACATCCAGCATACTGCACATACTCCACACATCCAGCATACTGCACATACTTCACACATCCAGCATACTGCACATACTTCACACATCCAGCATACTGCACATACTTCACACATCCAGCATACTGCACATACTTCACACATCCAGCATACTGCACATACTTCACACATTGAGCATACTTCACATACTTCATACATCCAGCATACTGCACATACTTCACACATCCAGCATACTGCACATACTTCACACATCCAGCATACTGCACATACTTCACACATCCAGCATACTGCACATACTTCATACATCCAGGTCACTGCACATACTTCATACATTCAGCATACTGCACATACTTCACCCATCCAGGATACTGCACATACTTCACACATCCAGCATACTGCACATACTTCACACATCCAGGATACTGCACATACTTCACACATCCAGCATACTGCACATACTTCACACATCCAGGATACTGAACATACTTCATACATCCAGCATACTGCACATACTTCACACATCCAGCATACTGCACACACTTCACACATCCAGCATACTGCACATACTTCACACATCCAGCATACTGCACATACTTCATACATCCAGCATACTGCACATGCTTGACACATCCAGGATACTGCTCATACTTCACACATCCAGCATACTGCACATACTTCACACATCCAGCATACTGCACATACTTCACACATCCAGCATACTGCACATACTTCACACATCCAGCATACTGCACATACTTGACACATCCAGGATACTGCTCATACTTCACACATCCAGCATACTGCACATACTTCACACATCCAGCATACTGCACATACTTCACACATTGAGCATACTTCACATACTTCATACATCCAGCATACTGCACATACTTCACACATCCAGCATACTGCACATACTTCACACATCCAGCATACTGCACATACTTCACACATCCAGCATACTGCACATACTTCATACATCCAGGACACTGCACATACTTCATACATTCAGCATACTGCACATACTTCACCCATCCTGGATACTGCACATACTTCACACATCCAGCATACTGCACATACTTCACACATCCAGCATACTGAACATACTTCATACATCCAGCATACTGCACATACTTCATATATTCAGCATACTGCACACACTTCACACATCCAGCATAATGCACATACTTCATACATCCAGCATACTGCACATACTTCACACATCCAGCATACTGCACATACTTCACACATCCAGCATACTGCACATACTTCATACATCCAGCACACTGCACATACTTCACACATCCAGCATACTGCACATACTTCATACATCCAACATACTGCACATACTTCACACATCCAGCATACTGCACATACTTCATACATCCAGCATACTGCACATACTTGACACATTCAGGATACTGCTCATACTTCACACATCCAGCATACTGCACATACTTCATACATCCAGCATCATGCACATACTTCACAAATCCTGCATATTGCACACACTTCACACATCCAGCATACTGCACACACTTCATACATCCAGCATACTGCACATACTTCATACATCCAGCATACTGCACATACTTCATACATCCAGCATACTGCACATACTTCACACATCCAGGATACTGCACATACTTCACACATCCAGCATACTGCACATACTTCACACATCCAGCATACTGCACATACTTCACACATCCAGCATACTGCACATACTTCATACATGCAGGATACTGCACATACTTCATACATCCAGCATACTGCACATACTTCATACATCCAGCATACTGCACATACTTCACACATCGAGCATACTGCACATACTTCATACATCCAGCATACTGCACATACTTGACACATCCAGCATACTGCACATACTTCACACATCCAGGATACTGCACATATTTCACACATCCAGGATACTGCACAAACTTCACACATTCAAGATACTGCACATACTTCACACATCAAGCATACTGCACATACTTCATACATCCAGCATACTGCACATACTGCACATACTTCACACATCCAGCATACTGCACATACTTCACACATCCAGGATACTGCACATACTTCACACATCCAGCATACTGCACATACTTCACACATCCAGCATACTGCACATACTTCACACATCCAGCATACTGCACATACTTCACACTCACACATCCAGCATACTGCACATACTTCACACTCACACATCCAGCATACTGCACATACTTCACACTCACACATCCAGCATACTGCACATACTTCACACATCCAGCATACTGCACATATCTTATTCTACATAAGAAATACAACTTACCTATCTCATTACATAATAATCTGATGACTGAAATCTTCTTAGGACATAGATATCTTCCACCATAGTATGGTTTGCCTTTTGTAAAATGATTTCACAATGAATCCCTTGACATTTACCCGGGTTTGATTCCTATAAAGACAGTGGTATGAGAGTGGCACTAGGAAGAGACTGTGACCTTACCAAGTAATATTCACATAGTTAGCAATGGATACAAAGCAGCCAATTCTCTCTCCCCCCCCCCCCCCCAATACACTCCTTCAAAATTGTGGAAATGGCACAGCTTCTTTAACCTGTAGGTTACAAAAAGTAAGCAAAAACTACCCACATTCTTTCCATCATCTCTCTTCCATTGGAGTCTGTGTAGAACTTGTCGTCACTGTTGAGACTGGTAGTAAACTTGGAGACAACTTCCTTTCCCATGCTAATTCATAAAAGGAAAAAAAAAATTTATATAATTCAAAATGACACAGAAACTGTCAACAGAAAGCTCAGATTTGATTTATAACAATCAAATGTCAAACACAATATCAAAACTATCAGTATTCATTCATTACAATAAACATGTCTAAATAAAATTTGTGATTTGAACTAACTTAAATAAATGTGGATGATAAACCATTTAGAAAGCAGTGGCAAATTTCTGAATGCAAGACTGGCCAATAAGTCCACTGTGGTTGACTGGCAACATCCAGTAAAATGATATGTAAAATTATTTTCACAGATTATAGATAATGTGGGATAGAAAGGTCAGAGACAGTAGTGCCCCAATTTGCATGAAGGCACACATCGACACATTTTTATAAACTTACGAATCATCAAGTGGTCCAACCACCCACTGAAACTCAGCATACTTGGCTCCCTCGTACAGTCGGACAATCTGATAGGCCCAGCTGGCAAACTTCTGGTGCACCTCCTGTACTAGTTTGCCCTACAAGCAAAATTAAAAGCAGTTTTACCATTTGATTTTGTTAAAGCGTCTTCATTATTGTTAAATAATGTGGACGCAAACAATACATAGCACAATTTTTTAACTAGTACATCTTGCTTTATCTTGTTAGGTTTATTACTAGTCAATGCACCAACAACATATACTGTATTAAGATTTTCTAATTAGCAATTTACAGTGTAACTAGACATCATGATTTGTATATTTAGATGGAAAGACATCGTTTTGTGTGTTTCATTCTGTGTTGATCTAACTTAAGTAACAGACCTGACAAGAGACAGCAAAATATGCCAGGCAATTAAATGTGCAATGTATTGTGTGTGGTCCATAGTATTCAAATTTACAAACATTGATTTTAATAATATTTAATGTTTCACCTAGGAAGCTGCAGTCATGCAGAGATTAAACAGTCTGAACAGCAAATGGCAGAACATCAGCAAACTGGTGACAGTAAACAAATGACAGCATCCATTTCTCTTGTGCAGTTTAGACCTTAGTCATAGGACATCTTTTAATCAATAAAGGAGAACACTGAGGATTTTGAATTTACATAGTAAACTAATAATCTGAGAATCCACTGTTCAAAGAAAAATAAAATGATCCATACATTACACACACACACATGCACGCACGCACGCACGCACACACACACACACACACAAATCTTGACTCAGAGCCTTATGTCTCACAAGTGAAAATGTTATGAATATGTTAATGACGAAAATGTTATGAATATGTTAATGACGCAGTGATGATGATTATTGTTCTGCTCCTCCTTTTCATTTCTTCTCATCCTCCCACTCCTCATTTTTCCTCTTCTTCTTCTACTTCTTCTTCTTTTTTTCTTTTTCTTTCTTCTTTTTCTTCTTCTTCTTCTCCTCCTCCTCCTTCTTCCTCCTCCTCCTCCTCTTCCTCTCCTACTCGTGTTTCTTCCAATGACAAATAGCAACCCTAAAAATAGCATCAGGAACAAGCAACAACAATAACAAGAAACAGAAAAAAATAGCAGTTATGACAACGTACAAGGCGATAAACAGACAGAAATAATTACAAGATAAAGAACAAGAAAAATAAAGGACACTACACACACTCACACACACGCACACCTACACACACATACACACACACACACGCACAGAAATAAGTAGTACCTTAATAACTTTGATCTCTACTTTATCAGGAGCAACACTCTTAGGCACTGCATCCACAGGAACAAACACATAGGCTCCAGACGCCCTGGGTGAGCTAGGCTGACCCATGTAGTAGACAAGTTCTTGAGAAACGTTCTCCTTCACCTGGCTGTCTTTATTGTAGATGGAGACCAGCTTTCCAGTCTTAGCGCTAAACGTCAGAGATAAGTGCTGTGAAAAAAAGACCAACATAAATTCAGTCCTGCTTTCCAGTCTTAGCGCTAAACGTCAGAGATAAGTGCTGTGAAAAAAAGACCAACATAAATTCAGTCCTGCTTGTTTTTAGTTCGGTTTTGTACCGGAATGATAATTATTATAATCATCATCCTTCTCTTCTCCCTCTTGCTTCTACTAGAACTACTGCTGCTGCTGCCGCTGATAATACTGCTGCTGCTGCTACTACTACTACTGTTCTGCTGCTGCTGCCACTACTACCCCTTATGCTGCTATTGCTACTCCTCTTACCACCGCCACTACCACCACCACCACTACAACCACTGCCGCTGCTACTACTTCTTTTTCTTTGCGTTTGCCAGATGTAAACTCTGGCAGAAAGTTCTGGTTGTTCGTCTGCTTCTGGGCTTAGGTTTTGTTCCAGAATTTGAGTTTATGTTGTAGACAGGTTTTATAGATCTTGCCTATTTCTATGCCAACTGTCGGCTCTCAAGTGCCAGGCACATGCACTGCGACTTTAAAGGAAATGCCCATAAATAATCGCCTCCTCCGACATGCTTGTTATGGGACAGTAGGGCCCCCCCCCCCTTTTTTTGTGTGTGTAAGAAATGTCCCCATAGGCTAAAGTACGGGTAATACCTGGATTCTATCTATATAATATATTGTAACTGTGTATTACACATACATGGTATGCAAGGAATATCGGTTCTTCTTCGCGTTCACCAGCTGTACACTGGCGGAAAGTTCTGGTTGCTCGCCCACTACTGAACTGCAGTCCTGCTCCAGAACCTGAGTGTTGTGTGTGCATCAGTTTTACAGATCTTATTCTCTTGAATACAGACTGTTGGTTCCTTGCCTCTCCGGCAGATGCACTCCGACTTCAAAGGAAGCTCCCCAATTAGTCGACTCTTACGACTTGCTTTTGTTGAGGCAGTGGGTCTATTCTTGTTTTCCCCATAATGGGGCCCAGGAACCCACAAGGGGGACCTTCGAAATGATGACAATATAGTTTTGATCGTTTAATACGAAACACAACTGCAAGAAATAATGGATATAACTGTAACGGAAAGTGAAAACAAGGGTCTTATTTTGAATAGCAGAAAAACAAAAGTAATGGTAATTGCAAAGAAAACTGACCCTATAAAATGCAACATCGTAGTAAATGGGACAATCCTCAAGCAATTTGATATGTTTTAGTACTTGATACCTTGATAACGTCAGATGAAAGATGTACAGTAGAACCTCGCTTAACGAGCACCTCGTATAACGAGTAATTCGCATAAAGAGCAAAACAAATTGTAAAAAAAATGACTCGCTTAACGAGCAACGTTTCGCATAACGAGTGGCGAGGAGAGGGGAAGTCCCGAATAGTGCGCATGTTACATCAGTCTGTATTTAGCACTCGTTCCAGTAGCATCGTAGCGTCACTTGTGATCACACATGTTCTCAAATTTGTGTTATATTGTGATACATGTACATGAATCCTCTGGGCCTACAAGATGACCTCTCTGAAGAATTTAAGTTCATCACGATCCAGTTTCTGCCTCCCAACACTGCTCCGTTACTCCAGTCCATGGACCAGCAAGTTATTTCTAACTTTAAGAAACTCAACACTAAAGCACTTTTCGAGCATTGTTTTCAGGTGACTAAGGGGACCAACCTCACTCTCAGAGAGTTTTGGAGAAAAACCACTTTCACATCGTTGCCTGTCGCAGAATGATCGACAAGGCGGGAGAAGGGGTTACCAAGAGAATCCTAACTTCTGCTTGGAAGAAGCTTTAGCCGGAGAGTGTTGTCTGTTTGTGACTTTGAGGGGTTCGAGACACTGAAACCTATAGTCAACGAGATTGTGTCTTTGGCCACTATCATGGGATTGTAGGTGGATAACAGTGATATCAAAGAGCTTGTGGAAGAGCACAGCCAAGAGCTGCGTTTTTGAGGAAAGTTTGTCAGAGAAGGAGGTAACAGAAAAGCAACAATTTTCTGGCGAAATAAGAGAAATGATGAAAGCATGGCAAACTGTTGCATTTAACATTGAGAAGCATCGCCCTTATAAGGAAGTGGCTATGCGCGTTGCAAATTTATTTAATGATAATGCTGTGTCGCATTTTCGCCAAATTAGGAAGCGTCGGCAAAAACAAATCTAAGGACATCTTTCTAGTTAAAAAAAAAAAAAAAAAATTATAATAATTAGCTATGTATCATAATTATTTCGACTTTTGTTTCTGCAAATCCTATTCGCATTCCAGGTAGGTTCGTTACGCGTTTGAAGAAAAGATGAAGAAGATCTACTCTCCTTAACAATATGTATATACTTTTCTTTGAATAAACGTTATACAAAGCATTTTGTGAGTATCTTTTTCGACATGGAACGCATTATCGTATTTTACATTAATTTATATGAGAAAACTTGTTTCGCATAACGAGTGTTTCGCTTAACGAGTGTTTCGCTTAACGAGTATGATTCTGGAACAAATTATGCTCGTTGAGCGAGGTTCCACAGTATTAAAGAAGTTGAATGTAGAAAGCTCAAGCAAATGCAGCATTTTACAAAATGAAGACTATTTTATGCAGTCTTTGACAACTGAGACAAGCAAGAGAATGTTTAAAAGTCATATAAATCATATCCTGATATACGGAAGTGAATCATGGACGGACAATTGGTAGATTAGGAACAATTATGTGGAAGCTGCTGGAGTGTGGTTTTATAGACGAATGATAAGAATACCTGGATAGATAAAAATATTAATGAAGATGTCTTGAAAGAAACTAACACACAAAGACAACTGATTGCCCACATCAGAAAGACAATCTATATTCTTTGGTCATGTGATGAGAAGGAGAAAACCGGGGTATATCGTAACAATAGGAACTGTTGGAGGGGAGGTGATACAGAGGAAGACCGAGAGAGAAGATGCCGGACAGTTTGACATCATGGCATGGAGAATAATCTGTATCAGAGTTGACTGAAAGTACACGAGACAGAAGGTTGATGTCAGACATAAGTGTCAGTGCCACACGGCATGGACTTTGAAAAGATGAAGAAGTGTATTAGGAAATGCGACAACATCCACAATCCTTTACTGCTTGTATTGAGAAACTGCAGGGCGCTGGGCCGTGAGCAGAAGGATTTGATGCCACATGGCCCACGAACTGTGCTGGGTGAGATATGTTGCGCCAACAGGGCAAATCATCAGTACTTACAGAGGATTGAACCAAAGTAATCTGTACGAGAGCGCAGCGCACGTAACCACGTGACCAGCAGCCACCATTCATACTGGGTTATTTAATGGATAAACTTAATTAGAAAGATAAATGATTTACTAAAAAAGCGTTGAAGGTTTTGTTCTTTAATGAAAGTACTACACAATGTGGATTTTAAGGACACTATTAGAGGAAAAAATGCGGGAGAGGGCGGGGGGGGGGGCGGGGGCTATCTCCCACCAAGCATGTCCTACTACTGGCCAACCTCAACAGTTAATTCTGATTTAAGAATCCTCATCATAGCAATTGGGACACTCCCATAAACGCTCCATCTCCATCTTCAGCAGCAAGCTAAGAGTTCCGATTCAGATAGCACCAGTAACTAATTGTATATCGTCTGTTCCTTGAGTGTTGAGCGTCGGCCAGATTCCCTGATGACTCCTCGCAGCGCCAGTCTCCTCTGTGCATCCGCACTGTTTACTGGCTCCCAAAGGGCCCTCATAACATCTAGTTTGTCATTCATCAGTTCACCACCAAGTGGCGCAGAACTGGCTGGTCTATCTGCTCATTTCACAAAACACCGCGCACCAGCTATTACTGCAGGAAAAGCCGCTGCTGCTACTACTACTACTACCACCACCACTACTAATACTACTACTACACCTACTAATGAGGATGCTGAGAATGAGAGGCTATGATACACCCCCAGAAGAGGAAATATGCTTAACGTGTTAACATTGATCAGCAGATAGTTGGGTTAGAAGAGAAAGTAAACCCCCCTACCCCCTCCCCAATTATATTTTTTCTATGATACCTCAGAAATGGCGTGAAAGTGTAGGCAAAATCAGCAAATCGGAAAATAGAAGAAAAGGACAGAAAGGACTGGTGAAGGGAAACTGGTGGAATAAGTTCCTGATAAATCAAAAATAGTGACTGGGAAATAAATTGGTGGTTATCTGGAACTTTCGTTGACCGAGATTTGCTTGGATTTCTAATGTTTGATAGTGCTCCCCGTGTGGATTCCGGAGTTTTATTCTGGCGGAAAATGAATAAACCCATTACAATCTAACAAGCGGGAGCCGCCAATGTGTAGCGGCTAGAGGCTCGTCTGCAGATTGTAAGGTCGTGGTTTTAGATCACGACGAAGCCGGACAGTTGCCACTGTCGACCCAAAAATCAAATATAAATTAGTTGAAGTCCTAGCAGATTATGATCCCCTAAACTATAGATTATTTAACGTATTCCTAAATTCAGCACTGCAGACGGATTCCCAAACAGCCGCTTGTATATGACATCCAATCAGACCTACTTTAGATGAAGAAGAGGACAGACAATCTTAACAGCAAGGCAGGTAGGTAAATGGGAGATCGGAAAGACAGAAGGACAGATACACAGACAGAAAAACAATCAAACAGCATGATTGATGAACAATTACAAGCGCTAAGTATCTTGTAATACAGAAACTTTATTAACGAATCAAATTGACAATAATGAGCCTGAGAGGCAAAGAACGAAAAGACTGCTTACAAATAAGCCAGATCTGTAAAACGGATGTGCACACAAAACTCCAGTTCTGAAATAAGACCAAAGTCCAGAGATGGATAAACAACCACCATTTTCAGACCAGATTTTACAGTCGGTGAACGCGAAGAAGAATCAAGGTTAAGAAAATTATCGACGTCTTCCTTCCTTGTGCTTTCTTTGGGCTGCTAGCTAAAGGTTAGACAACCCTCAGATTAGAAGATCTTAGTCAGGTGAGCGTCGGCTCTGTGGCCAAGTAGATGCAAAAGCTT